ATTGGGATTTTGGAGTCTGTTTGGATTTGTCTGAGCGTTTTCCTGTTTCTGCGTTGTACTGCCTTGGGCTCTCTGATTTAGTGATGATGCTGCCGCTGCTGCTTGCTTTTCTCGGGCATTTTTTGAGCTAAAAATGAAAAATAATGAATTTCTAAGCACCAACAGGACAAGTCGTAACAAGCGTGGAAAAAATGTACGAATTTAAAATTTCCTACAATAATGCCAGCATCAAGAAAAAAACCTTTCATTTTTACGTTCCCCTGTATCCAACGCTGCATTTGTCACGCCACAATCTGAAATTCAGAGAGGATGTTTGTTCGCTGTTGCAAATAATTAAACAGATAACGAATTTTAGTATGAATTGCATAAATTTCGACAAAATGGAAGTTCCGCGCTTGTAAATGTTGAAATTCCAAGCCTGTCGCGAAAATCCCAAGTCGCTAATTATTGAAAGAGTGTGCTGCACAAGATGCAGTAGCCAGAGAGAGAATACGAATTGAAGTGCCATAAGTACAGAATATAGGTACTCCAGCGTGTGCATGGAGTACCAGGACCCATGGTGTAGTGGTTTAGCATGTCCTGTCTGGATGTGAAGATGAGTGGTTCGATTCCCCACTAGTCCACTGGCTCATTTTCAAAAATGAGTTTCCTCCGTGAGGATTTATTCTTTTTTTCCGCATAACTCTTACTCCTCTTCTGCCTATTGATTTCTTTTTTCTCAGTGCTTCTTTCAATCTATAACAGCTCGTCAAACATCTACGATGTCTTTACAGAGAGTTTTAAAAAAACATTAAAAGAAACAGCAATTACAGGTTATGATGCCAATCAACACGTAGTGCTCTTCATCGAAAATTTGATCTACAAACCTCCAAACCCTTTTCGCACGAAATTTGGATAAAACTCATTAGAATTTGTATTAAACAAAGAAAAAAATCTCCTATTTGATCGATGGAGCTGGGATTTAGGGACTCAAACTCTCAGATTCTTTACAGCTCACGCAGGTATCCTACCTCCAGGACCAAAAACTTTACAAATTCTGAAATTTTACAAACGCAAGTACCGCTCAAATGCAAGGCCAACAACAATAAACTGCATATGTTAACACACAGAGGATTTCAGGCCCCCGTTCTCTCGCAGTCTCCTTGCAAAGGATACTTACTGTTTGCATTTTTAAAATTTCTACAACACTTAATTTAGGCTTCAGGCTACTTTTATTTCTACCTATAGGCCTCAGACACTTTTTTTCTCTAACCTCAAAATTTCGGAAAATAAAAATTAGTGAATTCTAGAAGATGCTGAAAAGCATAAACATACCTGTGCCACTTGTAGCACGTGCTGGTGCAAATCGTCGTACAACCTTCCCCTGCGAGAATCTCCGTTTTTCACCACTATCACTGCCCGATGGAAGAAGCTCGGCTGTTGATGGTGGCGAGCTATCCGATGAACTTGTCGTTAAGTTTTCCATTGGCCGCGCTTCTGCTGAACTTGCTGGCTCATCTTAATCACACATAAGGATTTGTTCAATCACCGAAAAATAATTTCAAGGACGGGTTTGAAAAAATGAGATAACAAAATCTGAGGCTATCGTTTGTCCCTTTGATGAGGAAAAAATGCATGAATTAGAGAACCTTGAGTAACGGCGCCGGCATCAGCTTGACTGTCCTCTGTAGCGCATGAAGTACCCTGATCCATGAAGCCGGTACCAACTAATGTGTACGCATAAATCAGTCCAGCTGCAGAGTATTCAAACTATTAATTTGTACAGTTATAATAGAAATAGAAGAGATTTAATAACCCGAATTGGATGACAAGAAATGAAGTCAAGATTTGCTGTGGTTGAACCATATAAGATGAAGCAGCATTGGTCAAAATAACTAGAGAATTTCTGAAATGAATAATTGCAGAAAAAAAGCTACGAAATGCAACTGATCAAAGTGTTAAAGAATATTAAGAAACATTTAAGTTTGCATGAATATATGAAAAAAAAAAGTGCTTGAACAGATGAAAAAAAGTGCTTTGGGGAGCAGAATGCGGCCCGGATAAGGCATTAACAAGCCAACTATCTTACCGGCCACCATTCTCTATCAAATTCTATTCTTTCAGCCTTAAACCATACCGAATCCAGTTGTGATGAATTTCCTTCGGTTTGCACAGTCCTTTACTTGTTATTCTTCCGCCTACCTACAGCCGCAAATTACCACCGTACGTCTAGCATCACCCCTGCTTGGAATGACTAATTTTGGCTGGGCTTCCACTGTCCTTTTCTTCCTTTCTATTTCAGCTCCGTAAGCCAACTGGAACAAAAAACTTGGCATATGATCTTGATAGGGCCTCTACTGCCCTCCCCATTCGGCCCTGACTGTATCGGCCGGTGTTTGCAGTCCTCTGGACGGGCTGTTCATAGCTTTTATTGATATGAACCTCACAGGGCCTCTACGGCCCGTACTTGCCCCTAATAAAATCGTTAACTTAAAACTCCCAGACCAGTTGTCCGAATGCCTTGATCAACTTTAGCTATAATGTTAAAAAGATGTTTTACACGAATAAATAAGTGCGGGAAAGATGGGCTCATTGCGTTCTTGTGCTGTTTCCACCAATATTCGTAACGGTCCTTTCGGGCACAGCACGGCGATTAGGTCCCAAATTGAAATAACAGCAAGCACTGCCCAAACTGTCCATTCTGGCAAATATTTGATAAATATTAAAGCCATCAGTGCTGACATCATTATCAGATAGCCCTTCAATGCGGAAAATTATTTGCACTAAGTCAGTGTTTGTTTTTCCATTAAAACCCTACATTGGAGTGTATGGCATAATGGCAAGTGATAATTCTCCTTTGATTGCAAAAGCTGAAAATTTGACTCCGTCAGTGGGGCACTAATCTTTCTATGTTTCGCCCATTTTTTTCAATAGTAGATTGACAAAAGCAAAAAAAAAATGAAAAAATTAAATTAAATTACTCGTACAGAACCAGTTTCTCCTATTCGCCCATTTCTTTCAACACAAGATCGATACAAGCAGAAAAAAAAAAAATGGGAAAATTAAAGCAATAACTTATATAGTAACCGCTGGATAAGAACTTTCCGGCCCATTTTGCCTTATTTGTCTCATCTTGGTAATGCAACAGGACTTCGTCAGTATAACGGTTGCAGCAAAAATTTATATTCTTTACTTAAAATGCAAAGTTCTTCTAGAAACTTGAATCACATTATCAACAGTTTGCTTATACTAAGCAATCCATAAAAGAGGAAACCATCAACAATTTTACTAGCTGATGATTGCTGTTGGTGCAAGCTTTTTCTCAGCAAATTCCTATGTGTTTTTGCCATACACAGACAACGAATAACGAAATAGTCTTATTTCTGTAATCTAACAAAAAATTTATAGAAAAATTTACTTGTTGCATTCGTAGCGGGCCTTTCCAGTGAATGCAAATCATC